GTACCTCAATCAAGAACAACCACCTCCAGCCCGGCAGACCACCGACGCCTCGCATGCGCAAGAGGCCATAGGCGAGAAGAGCCGAGATGATATCTGCGATGCTCATTGCTGTCCAGAAGAAGCCTAGTCGCAGGGACAACTCGTGGTGCTTGTAAAAGTACGAGAGATAGAGAATGATCTGTCATTACAGTCAGCAGGAAAACGCATCAACCGAGCAGGAACTCAACGGGAAAGGAGGCTTTACATCAGGGATAAATCCTCCTTGTAAAATCCCCAGCAAAGAGCGGCAGACCAAGAACGAAGTGCGCCCGCTCAGCCAAAACTGGGCGGCCGCAACAATGCTCCAGAGAACCATCTGCGCTGGAATCCACCGATCTGGGCCCATCCACTTTGAAAGCAGCTGAGAAGGGAGCTCTGCGCAGAGGAAGGAGAGCTTGAACACGGTGTTGCCAAGGTTGTAGTCTACCAATCCATGGTCAGCTCAGCCATGCGCCACTCACGCGGCACAAGCTCTGATCAACTGGACAGACGTCTTACCGTTTCCAGCCATCCCGAGATCGGTGAGGAAAGTCTCGGATAACGCCTGGCTGATGTTGGCTCGGTCAAGCTCGAGGGCCATGAACATGATGCAGGCCCAGATCATGATACGGAAATCAATCTTGCGGACAAGGCGGTGCTCCTCGCCCCATGTCCATCGAGCAAGGGGGTCAAAGCGATGGTAATTCTCCCTGGAGGCGGAAAATATCAATGACTTGGCTCGTCTGACGTGGATAGGCACCAGGTAAGATAAGAGGCGCCTTACCAGCCCGACCTTGGATGATACTTCTCGGCGGTCTCTGGATCATCAAAGACGCTGAGCTGTGCAATGGCTTAGTATGAGACATTCATCCCACAAGGCATCGAGTGCAAAATTGGATAATGCATTCAGGGTCGCAGCTTACCTGAGTTGCGATGGCATCGGAATCATAGCCCTTTGTTCGCTGGAACCAGAAGCGCTTCTCCTCTATGGCAACCCCGAGAGGCGGAATGCTGTTCAGCGATAGACTGCGCGCATCTGAGTCCTGCTTGGTGTCCTGGTCCCTCTCGACGCGGACGGCCTTCTCCCTGGTGAGGACTGTGGCCATGGTGCTCGTTGTTGTTTTGTACTATCCCCGCACAGGGGAATGCAAAGAGTTACTTGCTCGATCAATGGTTGAGAGATGCGGTTTGTGCCGTTTCTACAGTCACTATGCTTATCACGACGAGGGTGGCATTGGGCTTCTTATGGTGCTCAATGGCAACGACGAGGAGATGTACAGCCACCTACTGAACTCGGTACTGTGACCGGCTACAGAGGACGGACACGACATGGCGATCAACTTCCACAATATCACGTATTGTGTGCACTCGCGGTCCCGCTGCCGAATGGGACGTGGTGTTACCGCATATGTCTACCCCCCCTCCTCAAAACGACATACGGAGCAACCGATGCGGATGGCCAAAGGAACTGGAACGGGGGTGAGCTGTCTGTCTTGGCCAAGGTACGTGCGAGCTGACTGGCAGATAACTTGACTTGATTGCCACTTCCCCGACCCGGGGTCCTGGTAAGAATTCATCATGGCGAGAGAAAGAAAGCCATGCCCCGTATTCTAGATTCATGGTTACAACGCCACAGGCAAGAACGTGCTCCCGCCCATCGGGCTGCCCGCACCCAGGATACTGGGATCTGCAGATACTGTGGCGTTTGGATTCCTCTGGCCAGAGCCCAGCAGCACGGAATCTTTGTCTTTGAGGTGGTGCTGGGAAGCCTGATGAAGAGCCAGGAGAATCAAACCGCGAGAGAGGGTCGTGGATGTTCGAGGCCCTGTGATGAAGACATGGCCACTGGGGTGGCAACTTGCTCCAGGTAGTCCAGGCAGAGCCTGGGCCAACCAAATAACAGGCCAAGCCAACTTGGAAACCGAATTCAGAAGTCAATACACCTCTGCGTGCAGCATGGCCAAGAGAGCAGCTGCAACATGGGTGGTTGAAGAGTGAAGTGACATTCCTGACAACGAGCAAGCTGGACCTGCAAGACCCGAAACGCCCAGGAAAGAAAAACAGCCGCATCCCTCCAATATACGTGATCGTAATCGATTTTGCGTTTTTCTTGGCCTTGGGATGCCGAGCAGAAGAAAAGTGATAAGGGCGCCAAGCAGCAAATGGTATGGGGCTTGTTAGGACGGATATCGATGGCGTGATGAGACGTGCTCGACCCCTGTCGTGACGCGACTTACAACGACATCGACCGGACGCGAACATCTTGCCGACGCCTTACAAAGTCGACAAGATGCAGGAAATCAATTGGCCGTTGTCGGTTAAAACAACAGCCATCAGCCGTAAGTTCTCCGTAACCCGTAGCCGTGAGTCCTCATCCCGCGTCGGCACCGGGTTGCCAAGACCGTATTCACGTATTCACGTCTCCACGCATCGAGGAGAGCTACGAGCAAGCTAGCGCCTGGCCAAGCTGGCCTCCTTCACCGTATGGTACCCAGCGTCTACTAGACCAAGCATGCAGCCCGAAGCACCGGATCCCAATCACAGGCAGCACCGATACCTCCGGGCGCAGCCGTTGGCCGGCGCGGGACTCGTAGCTCGCACGCAATATATCTGGCCATGTCGTTCCTCCCCGTGCTAACCCGTTCACGACTAGAGTATCAGATGTTGGCAAGATTTGGACCTCGAGAATCTCCTAGGAACAGACTTGTTAGGCTTTGTCACTCCTTGCATTGTGCGGACGGCAAGACAAAGCAGCCGTTTCCCCAAGCATAATTCGTTTGTCCTCAGAAGTCATAGTCTAGATCAGGGAGGAGTGATGTGTAAGTTGCGAAGCTATCCACCTTTAGTGCCACACAAAGGCAGCTATCACGACATCAATCACGGGCATCTCGCCATTGCTACCAGGACTTGATTCGATAACTCCAGCTTGGTCGTTGGATAGTTCGCGGGCACCGGCCGAGTGAGGGGGCAAACGCGGGGGCTGAACACTCGCATTATTGCATGCAGTGGCATCACACTGATCCCGAAGATGGGGTTCGGAAAGCAGCCCCCCTGATAATGGCTAGTGTTTATGAATACGGCTTGTCAGTGTAGATTTTGTATATATACACTCGGCCGCCGACGATATTCCCAGACATTTCGAAGACATCACTGCACTCCAAGCATCTCCATCTATCTACCTTACTGAGGACCTCTCCAGACAACTTCCAAAAACAAACAACGCCATGGCTCCTTCCGCTGTCGAGAGTTTGCCCATCACGAGCAAGGCCGCTGCTGCTCCCCGCCGTGAGCCCCTCAAGCTCTCTGGAGCGCTTGACGCCTATGAGTCCTTTGACGTCACGCCCATCATTGGCAAGGAGTTCCCCACCGCCAACCTCGTCGACTGGCTGGATGCGCCCAACGCTGATGAGCTGATCCGGGACCTGGCCATCACCATTTCCCAGCGCGGCGTCGTCTTCTTCCGCGCCCAGGACAACCTGACCAACGACCTCCAGAAGAAGCTGATCCTGAGACTTGGCGAGCTCACCGGCCGTCCCGCCACCTCGGGGCTCCACATCCACCCCGTGCTCAACTCCAACATCGAGCTGGGCGGCGACGACCTCGAGATCAGCACCATCAGCTCGGTGCAGAACAAGAAGTACTACCAGAACTTCCAGGCCAAGGCCAACACCACCCTGAGCCACAAGAAGCAGAGCGCCAGCCAGTGGCACAGCGACATTGTCTTTGAGCCGGTCCCTGCCGACTACACCTCGCTGCGCCTGGTTGATCTCCCCACCACCGGTGGAGGTATGTGAATTTTAATTATTTACCACTGTATTCACCAACCCCAGTGTTACTGACACCGGCCTTCTCCAGACACCCTGTGGGCCTCGGGCTACGAGATCTACGACCGCATCAGCGAGCCGTACCAAAAGTTCCTCGAGGGCCTGACGGCCACGTTTGCGCAGCCGGGCTTCAACGAGGTGGCCAAGCGCGGCGGCTTCGAGGTGTACGACAAGCCGCGCGGGGCGCCCGAGAACGTGGGCACCGACCTGACCGCCGTGCACCCGGTGGTGCGCACCAACCCGGTTACGGGCTGGAAGTCCATCTTCCCCGTCGGCATCCACGTGCAGAACATCAACGGCGTGACCAAAGACGAGAGCGCCAAGCTGCTGGCCTGGTTCCACGACCTGCTGATCCACAACCACGACCTGCAGGTCCGCCTCAAGTGGAAGAGCCCCAACGACATCGCCATCTGGGACAACCGGTCCGTCTTCCACACCGCCACCTTTGACTTTGACGGCTACGGCGAGCGCTTCGGCAACCGCGCCGTCGGCCTCGGCGAGCGCCCTTACTTTGACCCCAACAGCACCTCGCGCGCCGAAGACCTGGCCAAGGCTGCTGCAACCCAGGCTGCCAGTGCTTAGAGTATTGAACCTCTGATGGTTGTCCGGGGGGTAGGGATTCTTTATGTTTATATACTTTTTTTATCTGATGCCGTTATGCTAGTATATGAAAATATGGAATAGGTCTTTTGAGTTGAGATTGACACATGAGGTGACATGCTGTGAGTGGTGGCCAGGAGTGAGCATGGTCCATTTTGCTGGTGAATTCTGTGAGAAAGTGCTAAGAACAACAGTTGTATGGATGTAATTGAGAACTCTAGTGATAAAGAAGTAAACACCTGGCATGGGCGATTAGTTACAAGGGGAGATCGCAGTGACTACCAGGTAGTCAGGTCAATACATAGCCAAGGTCTTACGGGCAAGTCCCCTGGCAATAATCATGTCGAGGATCCTTAGGGCAAATCAGTTGCGGGTAGTTTCTCTATAGGGTTACATCCCAAATACTAATATCCATATCTTATGCACACTAGAGTCTACCTGGCACCGTTAGCAGCGGCTGAGCATTAGGTCTAACTCTGGTCCTGTTCTTTTCGCTGGGGGCTAGCTTACTGCCTACCTTTATAACCACAGCTATGGGTTCGCCATACATCGAATGAGGGCCTGGTGGCGCAATGGTAGCGCGTTACTTTCCGGTTCACATGCTCGCATGGTAAAGGTTCTGGGTTCGAGTCCCAGCTGGGTCGCTTCTTTTTGCCGTTGTCCATCATTTCATCCACCCGCGAGGACTTCACGATCTTGCGGAGTATCATTGAGCTGCTTTTTACGACGAAGGGGCTTGTTTACAAACATCGGAGCGCCCCTTTTTGAGATTTCAGGGGCTTAGTCAAGCGAGGGATAGATACTAGGTACGTACGTACATATTAAGTTCCAAGGTCAGGGTATTGCGGGTCGTCTAAGGATACGTGAGCCTACATGTAAAAATGGTGCACATATTCTCCTTTGACAACTTTCACCCGAGATATAAACGGCCTGCAAGTAGGTAGCAGGCCGTTATCAATGCGTCCAAGAATCAAACACGTGTTTTCGCTTTACATCTCGTAATGGCAATTCGAGCTTTGTAAGAGGCTCGATGGCTTGCATCATTGACAGAGAGCCTCATAGCATGGGCTTACATGGACAAATTCAGATTTTCATATTGCCATTGGATGCTGCTCGTGTTGAATGCATTGCCTTCATGTTCTGTCGGCAGGAGAGTCAACCTGGCTGCTGCTAGACCAATAAATGTCCAAGTTCGGCAAGTGAGTCACGGCAGCCGCGATCCGTTCAGGTGGCAGCGGTCCATTGATTTGATACGTCATGGCGAAAAGTCCCATGCGTGGCTGCGGAAGCGCGCATGGCGAATGCCGCTGAGCGACATGGCACTGCCCACGACTCTTAAGCTGCGTAGGTAGTCGCGCATTCCTCAGTGTATGTAAACTGCATATTTGTCATCTCACCTTTTCTGTGCCAATATATGAATGCTGCCACCAAGACGTTCCTCACTGCACGTTTTCTTTTCCCCCAAATCCAGCTTGCTGCATTTGAAAACAACACCTTCCCTTCCCTCATATAAAAGCGAACTCGCCTTGGGCTCATTTTCATTCCCGTACTTGCACAAACATCCGGCATCGGCTACAGAATTGTTTGACTCCGATTCACATCATTCTAACACTCGCGCGAGTCTCGACCTAAGCCGTATTCATCTCAATCATCACAGCATGGAGCCATCATGCAATCCATCCGACGAGTCAGCCGCCGTTGTCTCTGAGATCGAGGCCCTCCTTCGGCTTATAGCCTCGTGGAAGGTACGCTCACACGACACATCCAAGTTTCAGCATATCCCACTGTTGCGCAGCCTCGAGGCCACTCAAAGCGGGCCTGCCGTTGTCCTCATAGGCGATTCGATGCTTGAGCGCATGATCACGACAGGAGAAAGCCCGAATTTTGTCCAGCCTTGGCCTTCGCCAGCAATGCTCGACGACGCCGAGCTGGCCAGACTGAACTCGACATCTCCCGATGCACGTGTGGAGAGGCTACAGGGCGTGCTCAATGTCGGAGTAGGCGGCGACAGAATCCAGAATATCGCGTATCGACTCGTCGGCAATTCATCTCCCGACCCGGCAAAGGATCTACCAGCACTGGCGCCCCTTCTCGAGGCTCGCAAGAGCGTCAAGCTGTGGGTTGTGCACGCTGGCACGAACAATATTAATCCCAAGAAGGGTCTGACAAACGCCCACCGTGACGCACTGCGGGTGGTCCTGCGGGCCCTCCTGAAGATCTCGTCGGCACAGGTGGACTGCAGGATATTGGTGACGGGGCTCTTCCCTCGGTTGGATGTCCCTGGGCCATTGATGGACGAGGCGAACGTGAAGCTGCTGAGCATGGTCCGGGATCTCAACGCAGAGCTGGGAAAGGAGCGTGTGGTGTTTCTACCAGCCACTGAAGAGGTCAAGACGGACAAGCACTTTGTTGACCATGTACATCTGGGCCTGGAGGGATACAAGATTTGGACGAAGGCGCTTTTCCCTGCGGTGACGGATTTGCTGCGCAAGGTCGAGGAGGAGGAGGAGCAGAAACAGAAGCGGGATTTGTAGGCCACGGACGCCGAGAAGGTGCTCAGATAACTGGGCCATACTGGCCAGTTCCAGCACTGCTGAGCCAATGTCTTGGTAGATGCCAGAACCAAAGCAGATAGCTACCTGATTGCCTGGTATTTTTGCAGCACCTGAGAGCCGCGTGATTCTTACCAGATTCACTGCAATATTGTAGAAGAGAGTGAGATCGGGCTGCTGCAGACTTCCATTGTCGGTACACGTGAGGACGCGTAGCTTGTCTGTTCGTAGCAGACAGCACCGCGTTTTGACGCGTCAACACAGTTGGCACTCTCTATTCACCACCTCGTCCGTGGCCGCGTTCTGCAACAGCGCCCTTCCAGCACGCTGCGGGGGTCTGTACACCCGATGCCCCCGCCGTCTCCCATACATTTGCTCTTTTTTCTTCCAGGCAGCAGTGCCTGGCAGCAGAGGCAAGAACAGCTGCTCGGGCTGTTATTTAATCTAATCAGTCGTAAGTCCGAACCTCTTTCGTCAAACCAGTCAAGTTCTTTGCTCGGCATTCGATCAAGAATTAAATCCAGCGTCAAGAACGCACACCCACAACAACGACCACCAGCTTTCCCGTCGCCGATCCTGCGTTAGGGTCCCCGAGCCGTTTAGAGTGCGTCTTCCACCAAGATCGTTGTCCACCGAGGAAAACGCTCACCAGAACAAACGGGTCCCGCATATCCCGTATCGCAGACAACTCGGAGAAAGGTATCAGGCGCTTGGTACGAACAGGGATTTATTCACCCACCCTTTTCTTGCTTCTGTCGCTTCTTCCCTCCTCCTCCATTCACATGTGTCGTTTTCCTCCGTTTATCCCCGATTACCGACCGAGAAAACCTACAGTCATGGATCAGTCGACGGGCCGTGGCTCTCTGGCTTTTTCTGTTGGCCTGGGGGGCCCTCCCTCTCGCGCTTTAACGCCCTTGGCCTCCCGGGCAAATGTCCCTGCCCCTATCCACCGGTCTCCAACTCGGAGCAGCTCGGTGTGAATCTGGGACTTTTAGGTACATGTACGAGTAGAAGAGCGCTGCATTCCAAAAAAAAAAAAAAGGGAAAAACAAAGGAAAAAAAAGCACTATAGCAGCGCTCTCGTAAACTCGGTATCTCTCGGCGTTTTATCCCATCATCGATCCGTTAGCAGATACCCAGGCCCTGACATACGTCATTCAGGATCCCCGCCCAAGCCTCCACGAGACAATGGCATGAGCTTCCATCTCTGTCCGAGAGCTGCTCTCCATATCCAAACCCCAAAGGATATCCCTTGAAAGATCTTCAATGCGATAGAGATGGCGCTTCATCTTCCGTTGAGCCTTCCGGATTCCAAGGAAGAATGGCTTGTTCAACGCCACACCCCGCCCGCGGTGCTTCTCGGCCGCCATTCCTCATCCGCTTCTCGTAGAAGAGATATTGAGGCTGCGACGTCAATAGTTGGACAGGTAGCGCCGTTGCGTTCCTGCGGACTCGTGAGGGCGTTTAAGCTGCTCTCTCTCTCTTTCACGCGCATTCGTGGGCTCTCTATCGGCTATTGACTGTGCAGATATCTCCACCGGGGTAAGTCTTCATTACTGGTGTGGTCTCGGTAAGCCGAGGCCACAAAACCCCTGTCCCACCACCTTGTAATAGAAGACTGGTGGAGGTATACTAGTGCATTCACATCACGATTCACCGCCTTTCATGCATGGATACATGGCAATCCCACATTAGCTACCCATCGTCAAAGCCTGTCCCCAACGAGAACAACACTCATACGACGGGCCTTTCTCGGACATCTAGAAGCAAATGGGACACGGAGAGATCATGTTAGCTCTGCAGCTATATTTCGGAAGCTCTCGATGGGCGGGAGCCGTGGCCGTGTTGAGTATTCAAACACCACGCATCATGGAATTGTCCCCTGAGCAGCACAGGTTCCATTCAAGGTACCTTCAATGTACGCCACGGTCTCCACGATGCTGACCCCCACGCTTTAGTACCAAACTCACAGCCCGGTGAATATCAATAGGATCTCGTCAGGATTTCCTAATCGGGGAAAAATGAAGATCGTCTGGGTGGTCTCATGCAAGGGATTCGGTCCAGAGGCCCCGATTCCTTCCATCGCAAAGTCCAAGCCAGTCCCCCACGAGGGAGGGAACAGTCTAGTAGATGCGCCTTTCGCCTCAACCGTTCGTCAGCGGCTACTCAAGAGATGGCAGGACGACACACGCCCCAAAGTGAATACGCCCATTGCCCCAGATTATTGAGAAAGGTTAACTTGAAGCTGGTCTCAGCGACGAGCGCAATCCATCCAAACCCCAGCACTGAAATCCAAGCAGTCCGAATAGGGCGGCAGAGCGCCCCCAAGCGTTGAAATGTTAGTCCACACAGGGGTGGGCGCGCGCCAGGAGCGCAATGTTTACATAGCAACGCACAGGCATGTGATGGTCAATATTTAATGAGCCCCTGCCCCTTTTTTGTCTGACAACATCCCATCAGCATCTGTAGCTTCATTGAATTTCATCGGTACTTCGGGATCGGAGAGATGGAAAGCTCGTCCAAAAGGGACTTGACAGTACATGTACTGCAAGATGAGGTCTGACTTCAAGGACTCGACTGGACTTGAGCCAAAAACAATATCACATCTTTGGAGCTTTCGCTGGCGGTGGTCTGGGAAATACTCGTGTTTTCTATGAGCTACCAACTACAGCGCAGCTTCTATCTATTCTTGTCCTTGTAGAGAACGCTCGCCTGTGGTTTGTTTTTCCTGTTCGGCCATAGCTATTGTCATGTATATTAGCTGGCGGGTCGACAGCGCGCTTGGCTCAAGACATGTAGTATTCCTACGTAGCGCAGGCAGATCGTGTCTGGGCCACAGGGCAGAGCATTTGGAAAGTCTTGTCATCTACGAGTAGAAAATAACCGCGAGAAAATGCCTGGAGCTGCTCCAAGTCGGTCTGGTGCAAGGAATTGGGTGGCAGACGACCAAGTGTTCTGGCTGCCAACAGACGGTCGGACGCTTCAGCAAGGAAATCACCAAGAAGAGCACTAACTACGCTCGTTTTAACCATGAGTGTGGCAGTAGAGCAAAGCAAGAAAGCAAGAGCAGAGACGACATGATCGGGAAGGTA